GGGGGGGTGTTGTGCACTGGGACTGTCATGGGCAGATCAGGGCTTTTGGACCCGCTCATAAAGCCTGCTGTGATCTGAGCCTTCCTTCCTGCTGCTGCATTTTTATCACTTGCCTCTTTGTACTCTGGTCTCAGCCATTCGGAACGAAACTCGCTGTGGTTCCTCAGATTTCACTCACAGCACATGGTGTTTCCAGAGATGGTCGCAATACCCCCACCCCATATGCTCCTTTGCAGTGTGACCTTGCCACAAAGCCCTCAAAAAGTACAAGTCTGCTGCCCGGTTCCTGGAATATGGACCGGAGCCAGATTTGTGCTGACAGCCTGTGGTCAGAGGGGGGTGTGTGACTTCTGACCCCTCCAGTTGTCCCTTTGGGGTTTGGAACACCCCTTCTGAGCACCCAGTAATGCAGGGAGAAGCCGTGGGGGGGAGCGCGTTAGGGAGAACTGAGGCCCCCAGCCGCCAGCCTCAGCTAGGCTCCTGGGCAGCCATGCGACTGAGGCCACTCTGGACCGTCCAGTCACCCTTACACGCCAGCCGACACCACATGAAGCACAAGAACCATCCCGTTAGACCACAGAATTGTATGACGTGAGGGCTGTTGAGCCGCAAAGTGTGGGGTGGCCTGTACGGCAACAGAGAACTGAAAAATCTCTCCTCCACTGCACCCCGTTCCTTAAACCGAGTATTGCCATCCTGAAAACAGAGGCTATCTAGTTAATGACACTGAATTCAGTGATGTGATGAGCAGTGTGTGTTGACATTCCTCTAAGTTCATACCTACAATACAGCCATAACAGTGTATGACATCAAGAAACTCCAACTATAATTACCCTTTTAGTTCTCACACGAAACAGGAGAAACTTCCTACTTCAGCACTGCAGTTCTCCCTTAAAAAAAAAAAAAAGAAAATAACTCCCATCCTAATTATCACTGTTTCAAGAGTTTTCGGATTTCTCTAATCCGGTCTCAGTCAATCCAGGAAACTCCTCCAAGCACAGGACAAATTGTCACTCAGCCTTTGTTGAATGCTCTCAGTAATGGAGTGTCCACCACCTGAAAATGGTGGCTGCTCATTTTTTAAATATCTCTAATTATTAGGAGGTTCTTTCCCACAGAGAACTGAGCGCTTCCTCTCACTGGTCTACGTTGTCCTGGTGAGTCAGCCTCTACGAGGCCTAAGCCTTTTTTCACGGGGCAGTCGTCCAAGATTGAAAATAGATTCTCTTCCTTTTCTTAAATCACATCTTTTTCTGGATAAATATCCTCAGGTCTTTTGATTTTTCGTTTATGGCTTCTTTGTCTAATCCAGTCTTCTCCTCAGATGATTAATGCCCATCTTACACTGAGGTGCTTGGGACATTGCAGCCGAAGTCTGGCTGTGCTTCCTGCTCTGGACACGAGTCTCTTATTAAGGTAGGTCAGTAACTGTATTTATTTCAGAGGCAATCACCACATAATGTTGGCTCAGATAAAACTCTCCATCAGTCTTTCTCATGATTTCAGGAGTCCTCCATCTCCTACTTATGTGATTTTATTTTGGGGGCGGGTCTAAGTGCAGGAGTTAAGTTTTTCTTTATTATATTTCATCTCATTATTTTTATCTTATCTTTCTTGCCTGTCAAGATGCTTTTGAAGTGGTTTTCATCATCCAGCTTATTAAACCATGCCTCTCAGCTTTGTGTCATTTGCAAATGCAATAAACATTCTATTTGTGTCTTTATCCAAGGCACTGGTAGAAATGTTGGAAAAAAACACAAAACACAAGTAAACAAAAGACCCTCCTTCAGGCTCCCAATTATGCTTCTTTTCCTTGAGTTAAAGATTTCTTGAGAGACTATTAAATCTGTTGCTGGAAATTAGATACATAGAACTGATGGCATCACTCAGCTATTGTAGAAAATGATACAAAAAATGAACATGAATAGGTCTGGGGAAAGTTCTATTTTGTGAACTCTGCTTGTTGCTAGTGATCCCGACTTCTTGAAAAACAGAAATGGGAAAACCCTTTCTAAAATTCTGATGTTGGTTGACAGTGATCACATTTTTTTTTCTAGAATAAATTTCCCTCCATTCCCTTTAGAAAGGTCACCCTTGTCCTTGATTTGCTGTGCTGTCTTCCATCCTTTTATGCATCCTTTTTCCAGCAGCGCTCATCAAAGACCTCATGTGAAGGCATATTATTTATTTAAATCCGTCTCCTTTTCCTTCTTTTATGAGATCAGTTTCTGATTAGCAGCTGACTTGGCTAAGCAACAACTTGGGGGCCCTGATCTCCAGGGGTGTCAGAGCTTCACTGGAGTCCATGAGATGTCTGTTCCAAGTTCAACCCATCTTTACAGATGAGTATTTACACAGCTGGTGAATACATATTGGTTGTTTCTCACTGAAGTACATGTCGCTCTCAAAGGCAAACTTAAAAATACTCCTCACCAATCCTGCTCCTACTAAATCACAAAAATGTAAGGAACGTTGGCTTCAAGAGGTGGCCGTGGCCTCCCCAGGCACCCACGTGACTTTTTTGGTCCTTGCTGTGACTCCTTTAATTGTACTAACAAATTGTATCTTCAGGGTATCAGATCTCTTCCTTGTTTCTTCATCGTTCTGAAAGGTGCAGGTGTTACCAGGGAGCAGTGCCAAACTCGGTGTCATACATCACCCGTTTCAAACCCCAGCTCCACCAATGACTAGTGGGGGTGCTTTATGCCAGCAGTTCTCAACTGGTGGTGACTTTGGCCTCCTGGGGAACGTTTGGCCCTGTCTGGAGACATTTTCAGTTGTCACATTTGCTACTTATATTTAGTGCTACTTGTATTTAGTGGGTCGAGGCCACAGATGCTGCTAAGCATCATACAATGCACAGGACAGTCTCAGCAGCAAAGAATTATCTCGTCTTAAATGTCAATAGTGCTGCTGCCGGGGAAACCTGCTTTAATGAAATCACCACCATTCTGAGCCTTGGTTCCGTCTTCCACACAGCGAGGTAGCCGTGCTCTGGGGCGGTGCTGTGCGCGCTGCAGAGAGTACTATACGCGCTTATGAATGCCTGGGCTCTGCTCCACTGAACAGCCACTTGTGTCGCTAACCAGTGACATCACTTGCCTTTCAGCTGCAGCCCCAATGGACCCTGACCCTCAGTGACAAGGTCTTTTGACCACGGACTCTCACAGAGAGACCTAGCTTCACCACTCTGCTTTACCTCATTCTAGGGGAGTAGTTTTGGCAAATTGACCTCCCTCAGCCTCAGTTTCCTCATTTGGAAAGTGTGGATAATAATCACAGGTCTTACTTCACTGGACTGTTGGGACATTTAGTTGTCACACTGACACGCGTGACATGTTTAGCGCGATGCCCAAGACACAGTAGGTAGGCATGAGGTTTCACTCTCATTCCTTTTCCGCTTCCCTGCCGTTTCGCGGAGGTTGTGAACTTTTTCTTTGGGGGCCTCATGGACACTGTTTGCCTGGTGGAGGGTTCCTGGTTCTAAAGCCAGGAACACTTTTTGCTCTTGGCCCCTGTCTGGCATAGGATACAGGGCTTACCCCTCCCCTGGTCAACCTCTGCTGCCGAAGTTTTCCTTTCCTGCTTTTCTCATTTGTAAGTCAGCCAACACAAGTACGATAGCATGGTAATTGGCAGAACAGAGGCATCTGACTGTCTGGGTCCAAGTTTTGGTTCCCCCATTTATGAAACAGGTGGCCTCAGGCAATTTATTTAATCTATCTGTGCCTCAGTTTTGTCCTCCATAAAATGGAGATAATAATCTTGATTATCTCATGTAATGGCTATGAAGCTCAAATGAGTTCATCTATATCTAAAGTGCTTAAAATGGAGCTTGGCTCACAGCATGTCCTATATAAGTGTATATTCTTGTTATTTTGATTATAGGTTGTGTCTCGTGTTCTCTCATTATCACTCCCCCACTCATCGTTTTAAATGAATGTTTTTTACGGTTAATACTGTTCTGACCAGCACTGCCCACTGCACAGAGTCGCCTTCTCCTCGGCCAGCACATTACCCACCATCTTACTATTTCCACTTTGGGTTCACAACATACGCTCTCACAGTAAAAAAACAAACAAACAAAAAACAACAACGATTGGCTTCACATTAATCATTTAGAAATACTTCATCAACCACATCAATATTTTCATCTAGACAGCACTGATCAACAGTAGCAAAAAGGACAACAGTGACTCATAAAGTCACAATCACACACAGGGGAGGATGTTCCGTCACTTTTCCAATTCCTGTTGGCCTTCCGATTTGCAAACAACATCAGGTGAGATATTCTCAAGAGTGAGGAGAAGAGATAGCATAAGAAATAGTTCAATTACACGTTGTTAGTGGGTGGCGGTCTTTCATAAACCAGTGAACAGATTTTACATGAAGGAACCGGGAGCTGACACTTGCCTTCACGTGTGTTTCTGTGTATGTCACATGCCACATAATGCTGGTTCCATTCCCATCATTGACGGAGGGGCCCCGACCTACAATCACAATGTGTCTCAAAGGCGCATGAGCCGCTTTAAAATATATGACACGAGCAATTTGCCCCAAATTCTTACCTATAACTTTTCCTAGAAAGAGCGACTTGGGCGAGTTGAACAGTGTGTCAGATGAACTTGGCAGGTGGTAGTTCACAGACGGGTAATGATCCAGCTGCAGGAGAAAACAAGAGTCACTGTTAGAAGAATGTCACCAGCCTGCACTGGAATCAGACCTTCCTGGGGGATGATGACATTACTCTTTGAACCCTGGTTTCGGGGTACCTTATCTCCTCAGTGCTGACTCTGAAATACCGGCCTGAGGAAGTGGGAAGTCTCACCTCCTCCTTCGCGGCGGAAACAATTTGAACTTGGTGGGTAAAGACCCTTGATGAACCGTTCTCCAGTGTACGCACAGTTTCTGCGGATAACGTACGTGGTGGATTAAGACCCTGGCTCATTTTAATAGAATGAAATCTACAGTAATGACCCCTGAGATAGGAAATGCTCCATCTATAGCAACGAATTTTCTGTAGGGTCCTCTTACTGTCCTGTTTTGGTATTATCAGTTTATAGACCAATACTGATTCAAATATGAATATGAACATATATTTTACATACGCGTATAGGGATATGAGTCTATATACTTGAATGCTGAGCTTCAGGCTGGGTAAATGTGGTTTTCTTTCTTATCAAAATGAGGGGAAGTTCTCCTTCCTGCCGCAGGGCAGGGACAGGAGAGCCCAGAGGGGACGAGGCCACATTGTCACCAGCAGAGCTGTTTTTTCAGAGGGGAGGCGAGCGGGCAGCCGAGGGAGGGAAAATGGAGCAGATGGAAGTAGCTCACAGGAACGGCTGTGGGAGCAACGCAGGTTTCTGGCTCCAGTCCCCACGTACAAGCGCCAGCGGCGGTGTCCCAGGGCTTCCCTGGTCGTTGTGTCCCTACGTGGCTTTTCCTGCCTCTGCTGACTCTCTGAATCCACAGTGTCTACTAGGTGTTTCCCCAGCTCTGAGCTCCGAAAGCTTTCTGAGCTTCCCTGTAACCACCTGCGAAAACCCTCCTTGGTAACCTTCCGTTTTTCTGGAGTGAGTGTCATACCTGCCAAGGTGAGCATAAGGTAAGGAGTGGGTCAGCAGGAAGCACTGCGTCGTCGCTGGCCAGCGCTGCATTCCCGGGGGAACTGCGTGCCAGCCGCACAGACGCCAGAAAGCGGACCCACTGCCCACCCAGCCAGTGACAGCCAAGGTGGGCAGAGCGGCAGGAGGCCAGCCTGCTCTGGGGACCAGAGGGTGGCAGGAAGGAGCCCACGGAGGGAGCTAATCTCACACCCCACGCTGAGAAGGAGCTGCTCTGAGGGGATGATCATCACTTATTCATGAGAACCTACACCTGCATCTTGAAACTGCTTACTAGACACCTAGAGGTCATTGGAAAGTCAAGGCGAATAGGCACATCTCAGGAATTTGGGGAGTTTTTTCACGTGCATGGGTATCTGGTAACACTGTAACAAAAGCCCCAAAACACTATTCAAGCAAACACTGGCATGTTCGACTATACGTTTGAAAAGTTTTTTTTCAAAATATAATTTCAAGTGCATCATTAGCAAAACACTTATTCTGGCCAGAGGATCTTAAATATTTGAAATCTCATAAAGTTGTTTCCCTGGAGCAAAGGCGGCTTGGTTCCTGGTGCTAAATATTCGCGAGCTGCTCTGGCGCCACCTAGTGGCACACACGGGTAACTGCTGCTGTCCCTCCCCCCGTTTCTGCTCCGTCAAGTAAGCTAACCGCAAAATGCCCATTGACATTTCTCATAGGCAATTCTGCAATGCTTCACAGTGATGATACTGCCCTAAAATCTTCTTACAATTTAATCTGTCCTTTTTAAGACCCTAAAAGCGACACAAACAATATATGTTCATCATAGAAAAATAACATAGGTTTGCAGAAGAAATACCATCCGGTGATAATTCATGCTAATTTTGCATGTCGTCTTTCAGTTTTTTGACCCAAAATTGGACGGAACCCAACAACACATTGTTTTGCATTTACTTTTCATTACTTACTGATGTATTCTGAAACTCCTTCTGCGCTATCACACATACAACTAAATCATCATTTGTATGAACGACCAGTATTCCATGTTAATGAATATATAATCTACAATGTTTAAAAAGCATCAAATTTCTACATTTAGAGTTTCAGGTTTCTTGTGTCTTTGGGCCCAGGTCAGTGCTGAGCACATAGTAGGACCTCAATAAAAATGTGTTGCCATATGTTTGTGCAGCTCTTCAAGCAGTGGGCACAGAAGTGAATTCAGTTCTTAGAGGGGGGTCTGACCCACAGTGGAAATACCTTCCTTTTCATCAACTGTTTCTGTGGATCCAGGCCAGACAGACTTGGCTTTTTGGGAGGTCATCTTATGTTATCTGTACTGAGCTTACAGTAGAATTAAACTCCTAGTTTGCCTCTATCGGTTACTTTCAGCTGTTCCCCTTCAGAGACACACGCTCGTATATACGTCTCTCTCTGAAATGGTGGAACTGGCTACCCCAGCTACTCTGGCCACAGACAGAACTCTGCCAAGTGACAGTCTCCTGAGGGGACCCAGCAGTCTCGGCGAGGGAGCGGAGAGGATCAGCGGCATGTGAAATGTTTACATTTAAAAAGAGAAAATGCATTGAATCGGATGAGGCAAGTAAAGCTCAACCTGAAAAGCCTAAGGACATGATGTCACATGATGTCACCTCACTTGAGGTGCCAAGTGGCCGCCCCTTTTCAGATGAACTCTGGTGTGTTTGTCACAGTTAAGTGTCATTATTTCAAGGTAATTTCTGTGGGGTCCACGTGAGCTATTTAGCTGCACTTTTAGCTGGCGGCCATCCCACTGGCAGCTCAGGGGTACTAAGGACTCGTGTAGCAGACGCTCATTAAAGCGACCCCGTGCGCCCTCGGACAACCATGAGGGGACACTGATGTGTGCCACGCTCACCAGTGAGGCATGGAAAGCACCAGCGGTTCAGGCCGGGCCGCGGGCCTCACGTACTGACGTCGGGGCCTTCATGGCCGTGTAGGCACTGCTTTGTGATGTCCATTTTTAAGCCACAGTTGGCCTTGGCAGAGTTTGAAAGGATTTCATCAGCCTGTGTATGTTTGGGGGTGAAATGGAGAAGTTGGGGAAGGGACAGAGAAGAAAGACCTAAGCAGTGTGGATTACCTCTTGCCACTGTTCCCGAGAAGGGACACGAAAAGCTGCCATGAGGGCTTGTTTCTGGGGCTCTAGAACAGGGGCCTCAGATCGCCTGCCTTCTTTCCCGATCCCCTATTTTGGGTAATGCTTGGAGGAGGCAGCTCAGAGGTACTGAATTTAGAACAGAATGTCTTGATGAATGTTTTTACTCCAAGTCAAAGCTCAAGGTCAAACACGGGCAGAGGCCAAAGCAGACAGATGTTAGGGATGAGAAACGGGCAGCTCATCTCATCCATTACCCCTCTCTCCCTATCCCTGCCATCCTGAAACGCCTCTGGGCTTCACAGGAGACCGGAGCTTCCTCTCCCACTTTGATCTCCATCCCATCTGGGGGTCTGCAGCTGGGGGTCTCCCCCCACGCCTCAGGCCATTCACACCTGACAATTGGAAAGGCGGGACTCCACCCCGGCATCGAGGATAAATTCATCTGAGTGTTTTCTGCCTCTTATGGACTCCAAGTCACTTTGTTTTCCTTAATGGATAGGACATCGAAAAAATTCAGATGAGAGTGGGAGACAACAAAGTAGAGTTAATTGTGGGTCTGCCACCAGTTACAGGGTTGTACCCTGTCCCTTCGCTTCCTCTGGCTGGCTGGTGGCACTGTGAGGACGATGGCCATGCCCCATTCACCCCTCCTTCTCCAGAGCTAGCCAGGGCCTGATGCCACCATGCCCGCCTGTAAGGCGGTGAGTGGCGGGCTAAGCAGGCAGGGAGGCAATCCCCCCGGACATCCGGGCCCAGGGGACAGACCTCGGCTCTGGACTTTCGGCTGCTCCTTTTCTGCAACATCATCTAGTAAATCTGCTCCATTGAGACCCACAGGAAAAGGGCCGGTACCATCTGAGGTCTCACTTACCAATTACTAAATGAGTCGTGTGTGTGTGTGTGTGTGTGTGTGTGTGTGTGTGTGTGTGTTAGGGAAACCCCAGCTTTTATTCCATTAGAACCCCTCTTCTAGAGGGGAAGAGCTCTATGGATGACCCCATTGCTGGAAGCCCTCAGGTAATTTCACGACCACCCGGTTTGGGTGTAAGCCAGACTCCATGCCGGAGACGGCATTGAAGGAGACTGACCAATGGCTTGTCTGGGACCCTGAACCTTTATGCCCTGGGACACTCTCCACTACTCCGGGAGCCTGGAGTTCAGCATAACTCACTCTGGGGACCACGTGGGGACCACAAGCACATGATTGTGGAGGCCAGCACGCCAGCTTCTTCCCAGTCTACGCTGCCTGAGCGTGGGACCGGCCCCCCCGACTCCAAGAGCGAGCAAGTGTGCAGACGGTAGGCTGCCTTTCACCTTGATTTGCTCACAAACCCTGCTGACGGATGGAGAAATTGCAACAAAGGAAAGAAGCCAAGAAACTCCCTACCCTGTAACAGACCTGTGGAATCCATGAGAAACAGTCGCGCTCTCATAATTGGGTCCGCGATGACCACGTAGAATGGGGGTGCCTGAGTGTGTCCCAAGGTGTCAGCCTCCTTCTGAACATTTCCGTTCCAGGCAGACAGACGAGCAGGCCCTGAGGTGATGGCGGGGGTGGGGATGTGGGGGTGAGGGGGGGAAGGTGGCATCTGCCTAGAGCGAGGAGGGTGAAGAGCGGGGTGGGGGTTCCTGCCCTTCCTGTCTGCTCTGACCGACCCAGCCTTTCAGCCCTTTGCCTGGAGGCTTTTCTGCTCTCCCTGCACCAAACACGACGCAAGGACGAATTCTTATTCTGGAAACCATCATCGAACCCGCTCACTTGACTACCAGCCCCCAGATGAGCGGAGTTCTCTCACTTTTCGTTCTAAGACCCACACATTACAAAGAGCGAGCGCAGTCCCTGCCATGTGTACTTACACCACCAGCCAATCCGGCTCCCCGAATTTAGCCCTGAGATGTTTACCTATAGGTCAGGTTCAGGCAGGACTGTTCAAGCCAGG